CAGCGAGCAGCGTTAATTTGTTTCCCCAGGTTTTTCACATCAGCTGTGAGATGGGCATGCATGGAGGCACATATAAACAGCGATGGTGATGAGTGGAAAAAAAAAACACCTGGTCTTCTTACATTCAGCCACTCTTTCATCATCTCCTCAATGAGGTGGTCTCAAAAGTCGCAGTTACAACACACATAGGGCGCACCGCACCAAAGGGCGCACCGCACATTTTGAGGGAAAAAAAAGACGTTTAAGTGCGCCTTATAGTCGTGAAAATACGGTATATTGATATTTCTGATTCAGAAAATATTTGTAACATTGTTATCAACAACATAAATGAACTGCAATTAGTGCTCATCTGGTCAACCTATCCTATTGTGTTGTTTCCACTAAGCTGCCCAGAACAGTCAGTAGCAGCCCATTGGCCAAGCTTGGGCCTTTATCTTATGTTTTATTCCTCACTCATAGTCGCCATCTTTACAAACTTCACTGGAAGTCATGGTTGTGGGTTGTAGGGGTAGGCCTTCGGGAGGGTGGGGGAGTCGAAAGCTAAAGCAGCCTGTGCAGAAGAGGTTGAAAGAAAAAGGTTTCTGGTAAATGCTGTCTGTCTAATCTGAGAGGAATTTTTCTGCACAAATGCAAAAAAATAAAATAAAAATACGTGCTCTGGGAGCCTCAATGTTAATCTTTTCATAGTCAAATGTAGCATAAGGAACCTTTAATTAACAGCTCAATGTATATCTTTAGCAGTTTTAGTTAATGTAAACCTATTTTCCATTTCAATAAATTGACGGTTTATAAACATTATTTTCAACATCATAATTAAAACTTAACATGACTTTCGTCATTTCTGACATATAAATTAATTTTAAGGTCTTTCCATGCATTTTATGCCCTTGATTCATTATAGTCTTTGTTGCATCTCACAAGAAATATTTTAATGGAAAGAGAAAAGCCCAAACAAATTGATAAATAGGTTATATTTAATGATGAATACATTACATTACATCGATCTTTCATGTACAATTATACAATATACATTGTGTTGCAATGTATTTAATTTCTACTTTTAATTACTTAAAACATTGAAAAAGTCAGGCAATTGCACACCTCAAAATGCATCATCATTGATCAACTTGACAGACAAGATATACTTATATATATTTACTTAACTTGCACATATTTGAGTTTTGTCATGTTTTTTCTCTGTTTGTCTGCACACAGGTGTGCCTTCTGCTCTTTGTGCTGCACTTAGTTAGAGTCATTGTTCCCATGTTTACCTCCATGGTCTGCCTCCTTATTACATATTCATCATACCTTTTAGCCGGTCAATATGTTCCTTTCTCTGCTGACAAGAACTTGCCAGATTATTGAAAGCCATTGAGTAAATGTCCAGTGTTATTTTCCAACCTGCCCGCCTGTTATGTTCCAAGTTTTTTGTCTCCTAGATTTTCCTGTTCTGCCCTGCTATCGTCAGATATTCTCCTGGTTTCTGATCTTTGGACATCTGACTTTTCTATGCCTCCTGATTACTGCCCCCCTTAATTGTCTGCCTCTACTGTATTTGCCTCTCCACACCTGACTTTGTTTTTGAGTCCTAACTACGGATTTAAGCCTGTTCCTCAGATTCTGTCACCAGTCTCTGATTCAACAACTCCCACTCAGATGCTCCTTCTCAATTTTAGACTTTTGCTTTTCCCCTGGGTTTTTTTTTTTCACCATTAAGAGTTATACATGTGTGCTTTACTACTGGTGCTTCTGGAGAAAATTCAGGGATAGTTGTGTCGGCTGAATTATTAGGTACTCTGACTTACTTATCACTCGAATTACTTATCACTCTAATGCAATGACACACAAAATACATGGAAACACTATTCAAAGTAGCTAAATAAAATCAACATATTTAATACATTGCCCAAACAATTAAAAATATGCAAAGTTGTATAACCTTTTAACAAAATGCAGACTTTAAAAAAAATTTTTTTGCTAACAGAACTAAAGTATAGTAAGTCCTTACCACCTTAACATGTATTTGATTTCAATGGTTATATAGAGTAGCTTCTTGCAATAAACATAAATGAAAAATAAACGATGTAAGTATTCTAAATATTTTACTTAATCAAGGGATCTTATTACAGACTACACATACAGCTTGTGTTTGTCCAGCCTCAGTAAACTCCTATTTGAATCTCACAAACTTGGCCTGCTTTACAGATAAACGAATTTGTAAAGCAGTATCAGTATTGCAACCAAACCAGCCCAGAAATAGGAATTATCCTTGATCTCCTGAAGTCTCCTCTTTAAGCTCTGTACACTGTATGAAGGCTTACTTTGGCTAGGGATAAACAATGGTATGATTGGCTCATTGAATGTGCTGCCTATAAATTTATGCATCAGGATCTCATTATCTGGATCAAGGATAAGAACAAGGCCAACATCATAATCTAAAAGCACTGTCAATCTTTTAGTGCTTCTCGCAATGCTAAACCTTACAATGCAGTTTTCATCCCACTTTGGTGGGAATGTTCCCAAAGCTGAAATTCTAACAGCTGCCAAATCACATCCTTCTCTTCCATTGACATCACATTCAAAAAAATGTTTCCCTCTGAGGATGCCAGGATTATGATACATACAGTTACATCCGTTAACCTGATGTGGGTCGATTGTTTCCTGAGCAGTCACATTCTCTGGTCTTCCAACTTTACTATTCCTTCTACTCTGCGATTTTCTGTTGTTTTCATGTTTAATTTTCGGTTCATTCCAGGTTCTCATTTGGATGTGAGATCTTTGATCTACATACTCTTCATTCAAACGGACCTTGAAATGATCAATATGTTCTGTGCACAAGGCACAGAAAGAGACGTGATCATTCAAGCAGAAGAACTCAAAAATCTGGTTGTGTTCCTTACATATTTTCTCCTCCAGGTCAGGATCAGGATCTGAAAGTTTGTGTCTTTTCAAGGCAGCCACTCTTAGATGAGGCTCTAAATGTCTGTCACAAAAAGAGCTTAAACACACCAAGCAAGTTTTTGAGGCTCGGATCTTGTTTACTGAGCAAATGTCACATAACACTTCACGAGGTTTTCCTGAGGATGTAGCTTCAGCTGTCACACGAGGTTTCTTAAAAGCCTCCACAATCTCCCTGAATGAGTTATTGACGGAGAGTTTGAGGTCCTTGTTGAATTTGTTGTTGCACATAGGACACTGACGTCCCTGCTTTCCTTCCCAGTGCCTGTTCAGACATGCCTTGCAGAAGGTATGTCCACATGGAGTAGAAACAGGCTCATTGAAGACATCCAGACAGATGGAGCACAGGAACTGATCCTCAGACAGAAAACCACTGGATGTGGCCATATCTAAAGGACAGATGTTTTAGACATTGTGTCATTTTAATATGAAAAATTGTAATCCATGTCATATATATTGTATTTTATAGACCTGCACAAAATTGTGAAGTGAACATAAAAGAACTTTGCTAATTGATTTTGTTTTAGAAATCAAAATCAGAAAAATGTGTCATGCTTTTCCAGTGCCATCACCTGCTCTCTGAAAAACAGTTTTAAAAAAGTTTGCTTTTGCAGTGTCAAAGATTATTGTAAACCCAACTATTAAAGGCATCTGTGGGGGGTTTTTTGTGTTTTTTTTTTCTGCAAAATTAGTGAATATGGAAAACCAAGGAACATAAACCAAAGGTGAGTAAAAAAGTTATGCTGAGTTAGTTTCTAAACTATTACCTAAAGCTTTGAATACCTCTCATAGCACTGATGCAGAGGAACATGGTGCAGCTGCTAACCTACCAAGACATGGTTTCTATTTTAGATGAAGACAATAAATCTGAAAACATTGTAGAAATCTGTTCATTTGTGTTCTATGCCTTACTGTGTTCTCGGTTTTTTTGAACAACTGGGCAAACTGTGAAACACAGAGGCAGCATGATGCTGTAGAAAGGTGCGATTTGGTAGAGAAAGAAAAGTGGTTTATAAGAAGATGAAACATATTAAAAACAGGGCAATCCTGGAAGAAAACCTCTTAGAGGATTCAAAAACCTTTAGAGTGTGGTGGAGATCCACTTTCCGCTAGAATAAAGACCCTAAACATACCATCTGAACTATGGTTGAATTTGCTCAAATTAAAGCATAGTGCTAAGCTAAAATGGCACCAAAAGACTAAGATCCAAGTAAGAATTACTGGCATGCCTTTAGATGCAACGTTCTTGACGTGCATGTTCATAGAAAAGACACACCCCTTTAGACCAGCTGTTCATGGTGTGAAAACTGGTTTTACAGTGGTGAAACTGTCATAATATCCCTTTTGTTGTGGCCCTTAGTTATTATCTGCTGATAAGTTTCTACTCTATTTTACAACTCGTCTTTATGTTGATGAGTTATTTTGTGTTATCTGGTTTCTATGGGTCTTTGATTTGTGCCGTTGCTTCTGCGGTTCTTTGTGTATACTGTCTATATTCTGCAGTTCTGTAAGTTATTCTTTTTGATAAATCACTCTTCCTAACATTATCAGTGGTTTTTCGCTCTATCACAATTCTTCAAGAATATCCTTCTTTGTGTTTCAACTGTGACTAAACCTTTTGCCTCATGGGCAAAAAGTAAAAGTTAAAAAGGTTATCTGGTTCTAATAAAAACTAATCAAGAATGAGATACAGTAAGGGTCCATTTTTATTTTAAACACAATTGCTTTATTTAGCCAAGTTTCATGAACTGATGTGCCCAAGTCTTCTTTGAAATGAATCCCTGAATAGTTCTTGTCCCTATTCAGTAAATTAAGCTAAGACAGGAAGTGCTGATGAAAACAAAAATGTTGAACGCACAATGTAAAGGGAATAACAAACTATAGGGAAATAAAGTAAAATCAAAAAGTGGGGTTCAGAAACAAATAATAGTTTGTGTTATACTAATCATTTCAAGTATAAAATAACTTACATCAGTCAGATTTTTCACCCAGAAAAAAATGTTTATCAGCATCAATTATCTCAGCCTTGGGGCCAAATTTGTACCATTCTTACTTTGTGTATGTCAGCCATCCAAGGCTATTGGGAGGGTTGCAAAAAAGCCCCTCCTTCTATTTTTTTTAATTAGAAAAAAAAACATTGAAGCTTATAGGTTTAACTTGACAAATAGAAAAAAACTTGGTATGCATAATTCCAGATAGATGGTAAGGGCTGTTTGTTTTAAGACATTTTACATTACAATAACAACTTTGATAACATTTTACTTTCTTTTAGTTGGCATGAAACATTTTGCATTATCCTCGTGACATTCCAAAAAAGTACATAGTTTCCAGATCAGAGTACTTCTAACCACTGCTTTTCTGTTTACCAAACAATACAATCTCGTACTTTATAAGGCCTTCCTCAATGAAAAATGCATAATTATTTTGGTATTGACTAACAGGAAGGTCCTGGTGGATGATGGACGTAAGAAAATTGAGAGTAAATTATTCTGCCTGAGTAAATGAGGGTTAAATGTAAAGTAAATAAAGTAAGTAATTAGAAACCCATATGATTACATAAAGTACCTCTAACTTATGCTTTAAAAAGGAAAAATCACAAAAATTTGAAACTGTAGCATCAGAATGCATTTGTAGCCAGTCTGGTTGAGTAAAAACCAAACAGACACTTATACATGTTTATGCTAAAATATGAGAATTTACCTAAATCTAATAATTTGACCATTTTAGTACATTTAGCTAGATACTGCTCTAAAAAAGAACTAAACTATATTATGATTAATAACCAAATAAAGCAAAATAGAAAGAAAGTTAAACTTAACCTTTTCCAGGTGTGATGTTGAGCTCCTCTGCATTCAATGCAAACTGACTGGAGTTTATCAATGGTAGGAATGTTTTTTTACCTCTTAGTTTCTTTTCTCTGTAAATAATCTAGATGTGCTCCTCCCATGTTGCCTGTAGCATGTTTTACATGTTTTAAATATTATTCAGTAACACATTCAAAACTTGAAAAAGCATGAAATAAAAAGGGATTTAACGCAAAGTAACTAATGACCCAACTGTTGAACTTTGAATTTCACCTTAAAAGCTCACTTGTTCCTCTCACTGATCAGCTTAATTTTTTACTATTTTTACAGATTGGAGGACTGCTAGCACTGCTGCCTTGTAGCAAGAAGGTTCTGGGTTCGATTCCCGGTCTGGGGTCTTTCTGCATGGAGTTTGCATGTTCTCCCAGGGCATGCGTGGGTTTTCTCCGAGTACACCGGCCTCCTCCTACAATCCAAAAAACACGACTGTTAGGTTAATTGGCTTCTCTAAATTCTCCTTAGGTGTGATTGTGTGTGTGAATGCTTGTTTGTCTCTGTGTTGCCCTGCGATGGACCTGCAATCTGTCCAGGGTGTACCCTGCCTCTCGCCCATAGATAGCTGGAGATGGGCACCAGCACCCCTTGTGACCCCACTTGGGATTAATTGTGTCAGAAATGGATGGCTGGATGGATACTAATTCAAACTAATTCAATATAAAACACAAAGCAATGCTTTGTTTATACAAGACCTGCTTTATGAATTTCCACACTGTCTTGTACCATTCTATCTGCAACCTGCAACTGCTTGATGATGAATTCAAATTAATAAAAAACAAGAAATGTTAAACACTTAAAATCGACTATCATAGTGAAGGTTCAATGCTAAATGGCTCTTAGGTCAAAATTGAAGGTGGCATCAAAGAGAAACTTAATTCTCTTCTAAATTTATTGCCTTGTTTATAGGCCAAACCCTTGTGGTGCGCACAATATAAAACCACTGGTAAATTAATTAACAACTACCATAAAGTGATGTGTTATGAAACCAAATTAATGATGGGATTGATAGAAAATCAGTTTTTTTCTTAGTTTTTTTTTTTTTTTAATTCTGAAGTCCTGCAGTGCATCGAACTGTGCTACGGATACATCATTATAACTTAGTCTGGAATATAGCTGGTGAAAAGAAAAGACAAAGTCATTTATTTGGTCCAGAAATTGTTTAATTGTCAAATTTAATTATTTTTGGTCTACACTAACAACTAACAGCATTTTTATTGGCTAGCAATCCATGAAATAAATCCTTCTTTCCACACAACCCTAAATATCTTGTAGAGCTGGGGATTGTTGAGAACATTACAAGTATTTTAATTGTTGTGTTAAAGAACTCCATTTGAAATGAATAAGCTATGGGAAATGGGGAATCATCATGTGAGCAGTAGCCTTTAGTAGCCTGTGGTTACTGCTTTTGATTGAAACATGTTTAACATGGAGTTTAAAAGGTTTTGATAATAAATTCCTGTATTTGGAAGTTGAGAAGTTATTCCTTGATCGTCTAAAAATTATTTGTGTAAATAACGTAGTTACTGTACAGCAGCATTTGATTTCATAATTCAATACAATTCAGTTTATTTGTATTTCGCCAATCACAATACGTCATCTCAAGACACTTTACAGTTCACCAGGTCACACAGTCCAATTTTATTGGTTGAAAGTTTTCTGTCTAAGGAAAACCAGTTGATTGCATCGACTCATTGACTGGAAGGCAATCCCTCACACCAAGCATGTTTGTAGCACCAGTGGAGAGGAAAAACTTCCTTTTAACAGGAATACATTTCCAGCAGAACCAGACTCATTGTGAGTGGCCATCTGCCGAGGCCGACTGGTATTCAAGGAGACAGAAGCAGGCATAGAGAAAGAAGCAGAGATACAAAAGGCAACTGTAAACCAGCTCCACAGGCGGCCCCATCCAGGAAACACACAGTCAGGCAGACGAGCTCAGAGCCAGCTCCCATGTCAGAGGATGAAGAGAGCACATCCAACCAGTCACAGTCAGAATAATATTTTACTTCAAAGATTGAGGTGTTGCTCTGCATACTTTGGTCACAGGAAGCAGCTATTTAAGGTATCGTTTCCTTGCCATCATGTCCAACCAGTCTTTGCATTCCTTTCTGATCTCTGAGGTAAGGCCCTTTTCATACATAACTGACACTTACTGAATGTTTTCTC